TGGACAGTCAAATCGTAAAACTTTCTTTATCTCTGGTAAATCGATACAGAATATCACTTTATCTGGTAAACAAATCTATACAGAATATCTCTTTATCTTGTAAATAAATCTAAACAGAATATCATATTATCTGGTAAACAAATCTATACAGAATATCATTTTATCTGGTAAAAAAATGTATACAGAATATCTCTTGATCTGGTCAACAAATCTATACAGAATATCATTTTATCTGGTAAAAAAATGTATACAGAATATCTCTTGATCTGGTCAACAAATCTATACAGAATATCACTTTATCTGGTAAACAAATCTATACAGAATATCATTTTATCTGGTTAACAAATCTATACAGAATATCTCTTGATCTGGTCAACGAATCTATACAGAATATCACTTTATCTGGTAAACAAATCTATACAGAATATCATTTTATCTGGTTAACAAATCTATACAGAATATCTCTTGATCTGGTCAACGAATCTATACAGAATATCACTTTATCTGGTAAACAAATCTATACAGAATATCATTTTATCTGGTTAACAAATCTATACAGAATATCTCTTGATCTGGTAAACAAATCTATACAGAATATCACTTTATCTGGTAAACAAATCTATACAGAATATCACTTTATCTGGTAAATAAATCTAAACAGAATATCACTTTATCTGGTAAACAAATCTATACAGAATATCTTTTTATCTGGTAAACAAATCTATACAGAATATCTCTTTATCTGGTAAACAAATCTATATAGAATATCACTTTATCTGGTAAAGAAATCTATACAGAATATTACTTTATCTGGTAAATAAATCTACACAGAATATCTCTTTATCTGGTAAACAAATCTATACAGAATATTACTTTATCTGGTAAATAAATCTATACAGAATATCTCTTTATCTGGTAAACAAATCTAAACAGAATATTACTTTATCCGGTAAATAAATCTATACAGAATATTACTTTATCTTGTAAATAAATCTATACAGAATATCTCTTTATCTGGTAAATAAATCTATACAGAATATCACTTTATCTTGTAAATAAATCTATACAGAATATCTCTTTATCTGGTAAAAAAATCTATTCAGAATATTTCTTTATCTGGTAAATAAATCTATATAGAATATCACTTTATCTGGTAAACAAATCTATACAGAATACCTCTTTATCTGGTAAAAAAATCTATACAGAATACCTCTTTATCTGGTAAATAAATCTATACAGAATATTACGTTATCTTGTAAATAAATCTATACAGAATATCTCTTTATCTGGTAAACAAATCTAAACAGAATATTACTTTATCTGGTAAATAAATCTATACAGAATATCTCTTTATCTGGTAAATAAATTATTTTTACAATTATTTCAAACAGAAAAAAATGGTGAAAACTTGGAACCTTCTGATATTGTGATTTGAAGTAACAGGTATTTCAGATGGAGTGGTATATTCTTAATGTTCTTCAATTTAAAGCATTCAATGATAAAGACATGTTGATTGTAACATACAACAAAATATCATTGTGTCGTATCCACCTGTACACCAATTAACATACCTTATAAGGTGATGATTATTCAGTAAATACCAGTACTGTAATACTTATAAACCCTTTTCCTCCATTCTAACTCAGTAAGGAATACTTTCTGTCCTCTCAATGACTTTAAAATAAGATCATGGCGTAACCACAAATGATAGATACTGAACGGAAAAATGAGATCAACATCATTCACACAGTCCAATCAAAATCTGGAAACTTTGAGACGTTGACAGTTTAATTATCTGTGATCCTCCTGTCACAAAATTTCACAAATTCTTATTCTGTTGATCTTAAATCATTTTCACGATGAAATTTTCATACAGCATGGTTCATCAGTACATGTATAATATTCTGCATAGACTTACCTTTGTAAAGGTATGGTAAGGAATGTATTACACAAGACGTAAACGGATAAATGAAGGTAATTTATATTCTACATACACTAATAGCTAAATTAAAATGTATCCATTTGATTTAACGATAAATTCTATGTACCTATAATAGTGCAGATAAAATGGCTTTTCATCAACAATATCTAAAAGTACCAGCATTTAACCATAGCTTTTAATATTACCTACCAGTATATGTTTCAACTCTTACTACCAGCGGCCAAAAGATATAGATAACAGTAATAAATGAAACCCTGGTGGACCAGTATATAAAAACTTATATACTAATTATCTATAATTAGGAACAGGTGCCAATCAAGTATTCATTACATCAGCCATACGATTACATTTAAAAAAAAAAGCATTTTTGAGGATTTTCTATATTGAAAATAATACATCAAAAGATATATACATGATGCTTGGTGGAAAAAAAAATAAAAACAAGATATGTTTATGAAACACAATTCTGCATCAGAATTCTGAAGTGGGACATTAAAACTATACTGTGTCAGACATGTGCTACTTGTATGCACACTCTGAGAAACACTATGTATTCATTGTGGTAATATTTTTTTTTTCAAGTAGGTCAAATGGCATGGTCAAGGTCACATGATCAAAGCATTTTGATACCACCAGAAAGGTCTTACCATATCGAACGCACATGCCAAATATGAAAACCATACCTCTTATGTGGCAACAGTTATGGTCATTGTAAAAACAATTTAAATGTAGTTCAAAGGTCATGGTGAAGGTCATGGTCACATGGTGAACAATTTTGGTACCATAAGAAACACACATTTGACAGTTGACAACAGACAAAACGACAGCACAAAACACTAGGCTACTGATCCGGGGGCATAAAAACATCCTAAACCAACTAGAAATACCATAACATTGTTTTATAAATTATTTTAGCATACACACACTGAATAAGTACATATACACAAGAGTTTTATACAACAACAAAAAATCTTCAGTATCATTCACAGTTTCTCCTCTGTGAAATGTTATGAATTATCTTTTATAAATTCTTATAAATTTCTATAAATTTGGAATATACTTCACATTAACCATCCTTTCAAATGACAGGACTTCTCAACTTACCACACGTAATGTAAATGTTACCTGTAAATATCAGGTGTCAAATGGATAGGGTATCAGATGGCCATGTTTCTTGAGCCTGTAGTGGTTACACTTTGGTGCTTCAGATAGGCTATTTAACTATATCAATACAGAGATCTATGAGGATAATCACAGTATATCTTACAACCAGGTCTTAAACAAACAGCAATTATCAGTCTATGTTTGAGGAGTGATAAAACAGACAAAGCCCGTCAACATCTTCACCACCCAGTAAATAGGATCTTCAGTAGGCTCTCTCATTATAGCACTTGTTTTAAACAGAACTTTTCACAGATTACAGATCTAGATTCACAAATCTTTATCAGACAGTCTGAAATCTTTGTTAATTTACCAAACACATACTCCTTACAACAGAGAACTCTCCATTTTTTGCAACATCATTAAGTCAGGATGTGTTTTGTTAAACAGTCCTTTCATAATAAAAGTAAACTTTTGGTGTTGGAGGCACCAGGGTGTAGCTCTTTTATTTCAAGACTTGAGAATTGGAAGTTAGATCTTGACCTCGCATAATTATATTACCTCCCTTTCCATACCATGTCTTACATCTATTTTGTTGATGGTCTGAAACCAGGATGCAGTACTTCAAGGAGAAACAATCTCAAAACAAGTGCTGAAATTGTTGTAAGATCTAGTTTTGGTTCACATAAATACGACTTGAATATCTGAAGTTTTAGCTTTCAATTACATTTTGTTATAAGTGAAGGCAGTAAGTAACAAACCAAGATTCAGAACTACATATTATGTCCAGTTCTCACAAGAGTAAGAAAAGTAAATTTTAAATTGCTCCGCTGGTATCCAGATGTTTGCATAATGAATGTAGTTGTATTTCAATAAATTAAATAAACGCATGAAGCTGTCTACATCACAGCAACATTTGTAGTATGTTCATGTAAGGGAGGTAACTGACAGAAAACAAAATGAATGTAGTTGTATTTCAATATATTTAAATAAAAGAATGAAGCTGTTTGCATCACAGCAACATTTGTGGTATGTTTATATAAGGGAGGTAACTATTATTGAAAACAGTACTTTGGAATTTATTAGTTTATGTATGCCTTTCTTTCAGCCCGTTTATTAATTATACATACACAAGTTAGCAACACTCTTTCTTAAGGGTTTCTCTTTTTTCAAATATCATTGAAAATTTAATTATCTTTATCATAATCCCGTCACAAAATTTCACAGATTCATCTTTCATATTTTGCTGATCTTAAATCATTTTGCAATTATTTTCGAATTAAAGCCATCTGTCATCAGATTGCTTAGATTCGAAACAACATGTAAACAACCTACTCTGCTAATAAAACCTGAATTGGTGAGGATTGGACTGTGTTGTTGTCACTCTGGGAATTTCATTTGACGATTTTTAGTGACGATTCTGTATTCTCATAGTATTAAGGGTCTTTCCCAGATGTATTTCATTGATCTTCACCGATAGAGGGACATTGTGCCTCCATCCCCCTCCCCTCCCTGCTTTGATCCATAGTTTTAAATAATATAATAAATTTAGATCCAGTTACACAGGAGGTGTCAAACATAATCCTAAATGTTTAGTTACTGATGTCATTAATAATGATAAAGCGTATTTGATGATAATGCCAATCCATTAACTTTGGAATTGAAAATATGAAAAACAGTGACTTTAGTGGAACATGAAAACCCTCAAAATATTGCTGTAAAGTTCCATCATTTCATTCTGCAGTAATTGTCATAAGATTTTTTCTGGTGAGTTCAGAATTAAGCCATTTCCAAATTTTATTTAGTTCTAATTAAAGTGGTTTTCAAAATTTGAGGGAGTGAATACAGGAAAGCATCAGCCCAGAATTTATCTAAATCCCTGAGTTCCAAAAATCACAGAGATACAAATTCAACAGGTGGAAATCTGTTCACAGTGTGATTACTGAGATATACTTACCTTTCCTATACACTGCTTAAGTATACTCCAGATACTGAAGTCATTTCGGTCAAACATCGGAACAGGAAGCCGGCTCCTGAATAAAAAAATAATATATTTTACTATAAAAAAACATTGGGTCAAAATATTATATAATGACAATTGCAATTTTAGTACAAAAATATAGAGATCACAAACACTGATTCACGTTGAAGTTGTAGTTATGATATCCCGACAATTAAGTAACATAGGGACCTTGAGAACGGTATTTGGTAACATAAGGACCTTGAGAACGGTATTTGGTAACATTGGGACCTTGAGAACGGCATTTGGTAACATAAGGACCTTGAGAACGGTATTTGGTAACATTGAGACCTTGAGAACGGGACCTTGAGAACGATATTTGGTAACATAGGGACCTTGAGAACGGTATTTGGTAACATTGGGACCTTAAGAACAGTATTTGGTAACATAGGGACCTTGAGAACGGTATTTGGTAATATTGGGACCTTGAGAACAGTATTTGGTAACATTGGGACCTTGAGAACGGGACCTTGAGAACGATATTTGGTAACATAGGGACCTTGAGAACGGTATTAGGTAACATTGGGACCTTAAGAACAGTATTAAGTAACATAGGGACCTTGAGAACGGTATTTGGTAACATAAGGACCTTGAGAACGGTATTTGGTAACATTGGGACCTTGAGAACGGCATTTGGTAACATAAGGACCTTGAGAACGGTATTTGGTAACATTGAGACCTTGAGAACGGGACCTTGAGAACGATATTTGGTAACATAGGGACCTTGAGAACGGTATTTGGTAACATTGGGACCTTAAGAACAGTCTTTGGTAACATAGGGACCTTGAGAACGGTATTTGGTAATATTGGGACCTTGAGAACGGTATTTGGTAACATTGGGACCTTGAGAACGGTATTTGGTAACATTGGGACCTTGAGAACAGTATTTGGTAACATAGGGACCTTGAGAACGGTATTTGGTAACATAGGGACCTTGAGAATTTGAATTAAAGCATCTCATTACAAATACTGATATCACTAATCACAGGATTGAAGAATCACTTCAAAGTTGAAGTTGACTCTCCCCCTCACCTAAGAATAAGCACCTTCGAAGGATAAGAGATTATATAAATCACCAAATGTTTCCTTCAAGTCATAGCTTCTAATTATGTGAGTGAAATTTTTTATATCAGCTGAAGACTAGATATGATTATCGAACATCATGTATGTGATCAGAAAATAGCATAGCCTTGGGTTAGACAACCAAGAATATCACCCCTCGGGTTGGAGATTTCTCTGTCACACCCTCAAGGTAGGGGAAGATTCTATTAATCTTTGTCATAGTGTAAATGTTAAAATCATATGTATGTCACCTCTAAGTTTCAAATTTTACATCATTTGTATAAACATGAACTGACAGCTTTTATCTTAATGATGCTAGGTCTGGCAACAAGCCATGATTGCTGGACCTGGGGAGGGTGTTTATCTGGATACACTCAACAATTGTATTTTATAAAAGACCATATCTGTCGTATACCTTTCTTTTCATACAGTTTTATATAAAAGACCTGTCCTCAGTTATTTTGTACACCTGAAACTGCCAGGAAGTTGGAACCAATTTATTTCAATTTACTATCAGTGTCAAATTCATTTTTGCTTGACTCTTCATCAAGTGCTTGAGGATAGTAGTATGTAAATTGTCTGATTTAAAACCAGGTGTTTAAAGGATCAAATTAGGAATTCAATTAAAATGTTTAATCTAGAAAACAATTTTAATAAAAACAGGAGATTTTGCCTTGATCGCTGTATATAAAACTAATTAAAAAAAAATATGGTATAATTTGTAATTATCGTAAATATTTTTACAAGTCAGATGTAATTCATTTTTAACACCATATATAGCTCAGTTTCTTCAGTTAGGTTCAGATACTATTATCAGGTTCAAATAAAACCAAATTGCGTGCAGACCAATTTCACTGAAGTTATTGATTAATGAAAAATATATCTTTTAACGGGCAGCGCACGCGAATCCAACTCTACGGTTGACCACTTAACTTGTGCAGTAAGAAAGAAGATCATTACGTCAGACTGTCACTTTAACTTAGAAAGGCAGTTCAACGAAAAGTTTCCAAGCCCAGTGTCCAGATAATTACATCAAATCAATTATACTCAAACCATTTCTAAAATGCAACATCATGATTGAATATCAGAAAGTTATCAAATACTTACTTCAGTATTTTTCACTAATTTTCATAATAAGATATTGGATTAAGGTGAAAGTGAGAAGGGAAATTCAGATCAATTACAGTAAATCCATTCTTAGAAACTCAGAGTTATATTGGTCCTACACTTGATCCAACAAAATTTCATAGCCTGGTTCTCTCAGATCTGGTCACATTTATTGCAGGATTTGATGTATTGATTAATCAGCAAAATAGATTCAGAGATTCCCTTCACCATCTATTCTGATCCCTAACTCCAATAAAATCTGGCTGTACAATACATCAGACTTAAATTTAAAATCCTTAACACTGTAGATGTTTGTCGTCCTAGATTTGAAATAGTCATACACAGCAAGAATTTTTTCAGAAAACATCAAACTTTTGTTCAACCAATGATATCTTATAATAGTATGTCTCACTTTTGTATAAGCAATGGTACTTTGTAACAATATGTCTCACTTTTGTATAAGCAATGGTACTTTGTAACAATATGTCTCACTTTTGTATAAGCAATGGTACTTTGTAACAATATGTCTCACTTTTGTATAAGCAATGGTACTTTGTAACAATATGTCTCACTTTTGTGTTAGCAATGGTACTTTGTGACAATATGTCTTCCTTTTGTGTAAGCAATGGTACTTTGTAACAATATGTCTCACTTTTGTATAAGCGATGGTACTTTGTAACAATATGTCTCACTTTTGTATAAGCGATGGTACTTTGTAACAATATGTCTCACTTTTGTATAAGCGATGGTACTTTGTAACAATATGTCTCACTTTTGTATAAGCGATGGTACTTTGTAACAATATGTCTCACTTTTGTATAAGCGATGGTACTTTGTAACAATATGTCTCACTTTTGTATAAGCAATGGTACTTTGTAACAATATGTCTCACTTTTGTATAAGCAATGGTACTTTGTAACATATGTCATGTCTCTCACTTTTGTATAAGCAATGGTACTTTGTAACAATATGTCTCACTTTTGTATAAGCAATGGTACTTTGTAACAATATGTCTCACTTTTGTATAAGCAATGGTACTTTGTAACAATATGTCTCACTTTTGTATAAGCAATGGTGTCCCCCTTTTTAATAACCAATGATAACACTTTGTATCTTTATATACCTATAACAATTAAAAGATGTATGTTAAGATTGCTGCAAATTTAGAGAATTGCTTCATGAAAATAATTTTTTCCGGAAATGAACCAAATGTACTTCCAAATGAATTGCTTTGTTGGAATATATTTGTCTGTGGATAAGATGAATGATGGAGAATTGATCAACACTTAGCCATGAACAATGTGTATCTCCAGGTCCACAAATAGACTTTAGCTCAGTAATGGACACAATATGTAGTATTGGATTTACTCTCTCCGACCATGAATGTCCCTAACAGATACCATTTATAGCTGTTGGTTTCAAGCTCTCCTGGACTTCTCCAACATCTTTATCACTGTTTAACTTAATAAAGATGCCTGTTATACATTCATATACACAGAATCCTTTCCATAATTAATTAGATTTTTATGAAACTAAGCTTGAAATTTTTCATTTTAACTAGCTGATCAAAGTAATGAGAAAATTACTGAAAAATTCTATCTATTCCAAATGAAATTAAGACAACATAATTCAGTAAACTCCTACTGAAATTTTATATCTTAAATATGAAATTGAAGCAAACCATTTTTTTAATTTTCAAAATGAGATTAATTACAACATCAAGTCAATATCTAGATTCCAGGTTTTAACTTTTGTAAAAGAACTTTTGTGATTTGGACAGTGAAATCCTTCTTGTGTATAATGTATAGTGTAAGTTGTCCTGGTTGTGGGATAATTATTGAAATATTTATCCTTGCAAGCCTAATTATGTTACATGAAATGCTGTGTTTACTGCACTACCAGACTGTTGGAGTACAATTGTGTGACAAGTAGATCTATAAAACTGAACACATTAACTCTACAGACTACTTCTTACCTTTGGTACTTACAATATTAGGCTACTAAACAGAAACATTGATACAGCTGAAAATTTTACATTATATATCATCTATATATCAAATTAAAAAACTTCGATAAGAATCAAATTCACACTAATTTGCATACTTCATGAGTAACTAAAGGAAATTTTCAACAGGGAATGCACTGTCAAAAAACAAATGATAAAAATGGAAATATTTCATAGATGTTTGGGAATAAAACCATGTCTGGGATGATTCCAGTCTGATGAGCATTTCATCAAAATAATTTCCCAGGGGTGTATTTTTAAATTCCCACTCTCTCTATAAACTATATAATACTAGAATATGATGGCATTTTATCCTGTGGTGTCTCCATACAGAGTGCAAAAACAGTTACCTCTTAAAGTAGTGTGATGATTCAGCTCAAAGATATGCTGTCAAAAAAAACCTATGTTTATATATAAATAATTAAAGTGACCTTTACAGGTGTGCTTATTTCTATAACAATGATTTATCAACAGATGAATATTAATTATGTGCTGATAAATGTATGTGTAGTTTTAAGCCCTGTGTTATACCTCAATATGTATTAACATGGTTGCATTGTGTACAATCTAGATCTAGACCAGTATGTGTTCTTGCTTCCCCGTTCTATTGTACTCTACATGTTAAATAAATAACATTTTTAGCACACAGCTGATGTGTACCACATGTGAGAACAGTAGTGGAAGAGTTCTTCCTGGAGATTCTATAATGTATATTATAAGTGACTGCATCAGTCTACATAGGAGAAACACATGTTGGACAAAGAGACTAACAAACAGGTTGCATAATATATATCAGAGAAGTAAATATATCAGACTGTCTGACCTAGTTATGGTTACCT